GGATCGCTCGCCCGAGAATTCGATACGGACCCGTGCGAAAAGAGCGAAAAAAGAAAACAGCGAAAACTCTCGGCGAAATGGAAGCGCTCGCGCAGCCGTCGTCGTCATCATCCTCATCGTGATCGTACAAAAGCACATTTCGCGCCATTAGACGGTAACGTAATTGCCGACGAAACCGTGAGGAAACGAGCGAAACGGCGGTGATAGTCGGGCTGTTACGCAGCGCCGTCGGTATCGATGCGACGGTGCTCGAACTCGGGCTGGAATCAATTGGTAATTAATTCCCCGTCGACCCTGGGAATCTTCGCTGGGAATCCTCTCGGAGGATTTGAGATCTCGAGTAATCTTTCACGCCCAAAATGAGAAAATCGAAGATTTGCGAGCGCTTCCTCGTGACTTCACCGATGTCGACACACACACACACACACACACATCGATTTTGTTGACGAAATTATCCGACGTCGTTCTCGCCCTCCTCACTTCTCCCTCTTCCTCCCTCCTTCTTCCTTCGCGCAAAAAAGTGAAATACATCGCCGAATATACGTTCCCCTCTCTTCCTTTTTTATTATATTCTGCGCATTTAAAAGTGATTTAACATCACCGGGATGCGATTCCAGAGAGCCGAGTCCCGCGCAAGCGGTGTAGGATTGTGGGGGGAATATTGCGCGCGTATCGCAACCAGGCGCTTTTGTTCGGGGCCGAACAATGTGCGCAAACCGCGCGAACTTTGTACGTCGGAGGCATTTTCATCGCGAAAATCCGTGAAAACCTATACATGCGCACGCGCGCAGGTGTCTATATATATATAACAAGCAACATCGCTCGTACTCTCGTTCGTAATTCATCAAGCCGGAATAAGCCCATTGTTCCGTCCCCGACGATACTGGCAATGGGATTAATTTTTAAAACAATGAGCTATCGCTATACATTATCTCGCGTATATCACATACAAGAGGGCTAAGCCGGTGTTATTGTTCACCTCCGTCCGAGCCCCTTCGTCTTCCTCTCGTCACGACCGCTGCGCGACGTCGTTTCCGAATCACATTGTTCATCACATTTTGCGCGCTCGAAGCAAAGGCCACGTGATTCATGCGTATTTTCATTCCCAGACCAGCAACGCGAAATGCCCCCCCCCCTCACCTCATTTCCCTTAATTAAAACAGACACTGCATGTGTCTGATATAATAATTAATTCGTAATTAACGTAATTCGTAATTATCTTAATCTGTATAAAAAAAAATGGGATGAGAAGTCGAGATGAGCGCAGAAGCTGAACTTTATTCAGCAGATTTTGCGAAGGAAAAAGTACCGAGTACGGAGTTCATCCAGCGGAGGACGTTCGTGTCGAATGTCTTTTATATCATTCACGATATTTTCTCGCGGGAGAGTTAATTGAAGATTATTTGTGAGAAGAAGCGTGATTTTAATATTTCTCGAATCACTTCACTTTTGCCTAAAGTAAGAAGCGGCGTCCCAATTGCCTGGCGACTGCAATTAATTTCCCGCCTGCTCTCGCTAAATACTCGGATATTCCTTGGCGTTTCTCTTTTCCTTTCTGTCTCACATTCATATCTCACGTCGCCCTGGGCGCGAGCGAAAAATCACAGTTTTCTCGTACGGCCGATTTTTCCACCCGATCCCATCGCTTTCCTCGCACCGAAACGCATCAAAACGCGCCGTTTCCAATGGCGATGTGACCTGTGACCTATAGCGCGACGGTACAACGCCAGCCCGCTCCGGAAACGTGTACGGGTTTCATATTGCGGTTTCGTCGGACAAGTCACCGTAAACCGAAATAATGGCGCTGCCGAGATCATCGTGAATCAGGCGAGCGCACTCCTCCTCGGCCACCTCGCGCATTCGAGATAATCCCGCTTGTTAAAGTCTGACGATCAATTTTGTTGCTCCGCCGCGCTGGCCGCGCGCAGCAACTTCCGTTAATTGCTGATATTACATGCACGCGACTTCTGATCGCGTCGCTCTCAGCCAAGCTGCCTGCGCGACGTCTTATCCGCTTCCATGATGCATCGCGATAACGTAACGTAACGTGTAATTCGCAAATTTCGAGCGAATGGATCTCGCCGAGCGCGCAGTGTGCCTTGAGCGAAATTACTCGAAATTCATAAGCTGAATCTAAGAGCGAGTGACCCCTCTCGCGTCGTCGAAATAAATTAATAGTTGTTATATTTAGAACCTGTTTATATAATATATAAGGTTCAGCGTAGGAATACGCGCATTGAAAATAAATATGGGCTCGTATTAATCGTCTTAACAAAGGAGACAGATGCGACCGCTGCAAATAAGTGAAATTCATCTCGTGTTGTAATGTGAAACATTTTTCGCGATATTTCAGGAATCTAATTAATGGCTTTTCTATAATTGCGATCTTGGTATTTGCTCGGCTGACAGTCGATGCTTTGCATGTGCGCACGTATGCACACATATGTGCACACCTTTCATCGCGGAAAGAGCGGAAACTCGTGAAATTTACGAGACTTAATTAATTTAATGCGTTATCGTACTCGGAGCCATTCAGCAAAAATCGCACTCGGCATACGTCGATCTAAATCAATCGTTTAATTTAATTGAGGTATAAAGGCGCAATTAACGATTGCGTCGCGTCGAATAATTAATTAGTCTAAAATGTTAACGCTCAGTGATCTGCGCAATCGGCATATTGTGCGTGCACGACGACGTGTTTTAATGATCCGCGAGGGCGCGGTGAATGCGGCCGGTGGATTAAACGATTAAACGGACGCCGTTTCCGCCAATCGTTCTCCATCCTCGTCGCGCTCCAAGCTGCTCGCGCGTCAAACCTTCGTACTCGACGATACTTTTAATCCGACGTGCATAACGTAGCGGCGCTCGTCTCTGAAAATTCAAGGCAATTCGTTCGAAAGAAATAAACAGAACGTCGTCGTGAAACTCGGAAGATATTGTTGCTCGTTGAGAGAGAGAGAGAGAGAGAGAAAGAGAGAGAGAGAGAAAAAGAGAGAGAGAGAGAAAGAGCGACTGTATGGGATTTATTATTTATCCGGATGTTTATTTCTCGCACGAGCTCGCGATTATCGCGCACGGCTCAGCGTAAAATTTTCAGAGCGCAACCCGCCGTTGTACGATTTTCCCCCGGCGCGAATTCCGTTACGCGTCGCGGGCTTCCTTCCCGTAACTTTCGGATTTACATGATAAAACGTCCCGTTAACCCGCCCCGCGGTGGGAAAGTTTGAATTAAATTTTTATTAAAGTAGCCAAGTTTCCTCCTCGCGGGAATTCCACTGTTTGAGATAAGGTTCGGTTACCCCATTTGCAACTGCGCAGCTTAATTGATCAGCCGCTTCTTGTCCTTACGACTACACGGTGCCAGCGTGCGTCGCGTATATTAAATCCGCATCCTCAATTGCGTAACTTCTCTTCTTCCCGTCTTTAATGCTGTAGCCTGGTGCTTCTTTCAATCTGTCGCGCGCGCTCTTTTCGATTTACAATTTAAACGACGTTTTTTCTCCTCCTTCTCTCGCTTCTTCCCATCTCTGTTTTGTTTGTCTTCTTCTGCCGCATCCTGTGGATTTTGCATCAAGATCACGCGCGACGATAACCTCTATTATAGAATTGCACACACCTAGTTGCACTTGTAAATTGATTAACTATTGAAAGGCAAAAGAGAAGAGAGAGATAGAGAGATAGAGAGAGAGAAATTGCACAACGATTTTTTCGAGCGACGCACGCCAGGGAACTCGGAGAGTTAAAGGCCGGCAATGCGCGACGGAATAACGAGAGATGCGGTCTCTCGTGCACGTACGAGCGCGACCGTCGCGTCGTCCAACGATGTTAAATCGACGCGGAACACCGTTTCGGCGGAAATGTCACGAGCGACAAACAATAAAGCGCTTCGTTAGGCGGATGGCTCTGCGCGCATACCTGCATGTAACTTACGCGTCGCGATCACTCTCTCTCTCTCTCTCTCTCTCTCTCTCTCTCTCTCTCTCTCTCTCTCCCTCTCTCTCTCTTTTTCCCTCTCCTCTCTGTTTCCGCCCAGCACCGGATCGAAGCGCGATACGCTCGCAATGAGCCGCTCGGCGCAATGAAGGAAACCCGAACGATGATTAAGCTCTTGAAAGCGAGTCTCTCCTCTCCCGATTCCTTCGTTTTATGTCTCTCTCTCTCTCTCTCTCTCTCTTTCTTTCTTTCTTCCTCTGCTAGAGTTACTACGGCTCGTTTCGAAATTTACGAGGTTCGCAAGGGCATTTCTTTACAGACAGCGCGACAAAGTTGAAGAGAGATTAAAAGGCATGATACAATTCCAATTGCACTGACGTTTGACTTCCGTTACTTTGCGCATGCGATAGTTGAAGAGCGAGAGGGCTATTCAGCGTTCCGCTACACAAAAGAATACAATTTGCTTAATGTGCGACATTTGCTCTGCAATCTGATAATATCGCCATCAAACGTATTAAATGTACACAAGAAGGGAGCGGTGTGTGTACAAAACGGAGACAAGCTTCGATTTCGCCGCGCTCTCGATTCCGCTTCTGTAACAACTTCACTTCGAACTCTCTCTCGTTCTCTCTCCCTCTGAACGATACAGCCGTTTCTGTTTTATGAAAACAGATTTCGCCGACGATCTCGCAGAAAGAGTTGCATCAAACGACGCTAACTAGCGGCCTACGTTTGACAGTTGCCAAAGAGAGAGTGAGAGAGAGAGAGAGAGAGAGAGAGAGAGAGGGAGAGAGAGAGAGAGCAAGAGAAAACGGGAGAGCTCAGTTAATCCGTCAAATATATCGAGCGACGAACTCCCGACACGGCTTCTCTCTCTCTATCTCTCTCTCTCTCTCTCTCTCTCTCTCTCTCTCTCTCTCTCTCATAGTAACACCGGCGATTTATTGCCGTACCGAGTAACGAAAGGTTCATTGACAGTAATTCCGTCAATGGGTCCGCACGTAGTGCCGCGTAGAGCTCGACTTATCCCGCCGTCGATAAAACCCTTTGACAGTCGTGGGCGGATGGCAGTCCGACGCCGGCCGTCGCTGCGAGCGGATATGTCGTCGCTGTCGTCTGTTCGTCTTCCGTTCGCCGCCAAGATAAACGAGCAAGTCGGGAGCGCGCTGTCGCAGCGGATATAAACCCTCCGGACGAGAGGGAACGAACCATTCTCCGGCTTCATCGTCATCTTCGTCTCCTTCGAGTCAGATGATCGCAACCACGACGAGCGACGATAGTGACAACGGCCGGCGCTAACGACCATCTCTGGCCGCGGCCGCAGGAGATCGAGAGCGCTCGGAACCCCGAAGGATGGCGAGAACGCGGCTCCCCGCAGTGGAGCAACCCCTCGCGCGTTTCACGCGCGCGCTTCGCCCGTGGTGATCGTCACGAGTGAGAGAATCGCGCGCGCGCGGCGTCGTCGAAGTGCGTTCGAAGTGCCGCCGGCGCGGCCGCGATCGAGAGTATCGCGCGATCGATACCGAGCGCTCGTGGCGCGATCTGGCGTAACGGCAGGTCCCTTCCGCGCGAACTTCGCGTCGGTCTTTTCGCGGACGAAGCGATGTGGCGGCTGGCTCCTCTGCGGTGAGCTCTCTCCTCTTCTTCTCTTCCTCCGTCGCAGATAATAAAGCGCGCCCGTGCCCGTGGGACAATATCGAGACGTAATTAATCTCCGCTCGCTCTATTCTATTATGTAACGCCAGTCGCCTGCTTCGCGACACGCGCGCGCGCTTGTCGAGCGCACCTTCGAGCGATCGGCGAGCGAGGGTTCCTAACCGCATCGGGTGTGCGCGGCCAAACGACAAACGGTCGCCTCGTCGACGTAGTCGTTGCTGTCGTATCACGGGTGCCGCGTCGACGCCGCGGAGCCGCGGTCACGGCGAGTCCGCGACCGGAGAGTAACGATCAATAGATCGATTTTCGCGGCCGCGTCTCGGATAGCGGCGGCTAGACCGCGGATTGATCGGCCGCGTCGGATTTCCACGAGGACACGTCTGCGCGCCGCTGCGACCGGTGTAACCGGAGCCAAAACTATACGCTAATTCCGAAAGTGCGAAGTTACACGCCGCTATCCCAGGGAACAGGAGTAACGCGCGGACGTTTCACGCTGTCGCGGCTCATCGGACAGCCGCTGACAATTAGCGCGCGCAAAGTGCACGTCGCGTCGGCGTCGACTCCGCCGAGAGATAGGTTAATCTTTCCTCTCGCTCACTTTCTCTCTCTCTCCCTCTCTCGCAATCGCCAATTCTAGTCGCCGACGTGAAACTCCGTGCCGCGGATTCTCGGTGATCCGCTCGGAACGCGATCCGCGCGTCAAGTGCGTTTCTCTCGTCGACGAAAACTCTTTTGAATCGCGTCTCGACGTTCGCTCGCCGAGGGAAGTGCACCGCCGGAGCCGCGCAGATGCGCACCGCCGGGTCGACCGGCGATCCCCGCTGAAGGCGTCTTCGTCGGCGAAGGACCGCGAGAGCGAGGTGCTCGTCGGGGGAAACTTCGGCCATGGGTGAGTTCGGATTTCCATTGGTTTCGTTAGTGCGCTTTCGAATAGCACGCGTCTGCACCTGAGAGGGAAACGGTGTAACGGGAAATCAGTTTCTCGAGGGTGCGAATGGAAGGGTTGGCCCGCTTGACTCGGAAGAGACGCATTTCTCTCTCTCTCTTTCTCTCTCTCTCTCTCTCTCTCTCTCTCTCTCTCTCTCCGTCTTCCTCCTTCCTTTTGCCTGCCTATCTCGCAAAAAGACACAGGCGCGCCGCGCGATTCTTAAAACGCGTCTTTCCGCGAGATACGTCCTGGAAATTGATTATTTATTGGCGTTCTTATACGAGACGCGCGTAAATAAACGCACGTCCCTATCGTTTTCTCCGGGGTGATCCTGCGCGAGAGGGAAAAATACTGCCCCACTGTTCTCTTTCTCTCTCTCTCTCTCTCACACACACACACACACACACACTCCCGATATATTGATACAAATGGAAACGATATATTCCGATAGGGGGGACATCATGCAACGATATTTTTCTCTTGGCGCGAATTTATCTCGAGAAGCACGCATGAGAGGCTCTCCTCCTCCCCTCGCTCCGTGTACATCTTCGTAATCCGAATTATTTACGAACTGTCCGGTTATTTATGTAATAGTCGAGGGATTATGATAAAGAAGCGTCTACCCGGCTAAAGGCCGGATAAATGTCCCCGGTTATTACGCGAAAGACGAACCGCCGCGCTCGCTTTTACCTCCGGCCGATTTATATCCTCGCCGTTAGTCACGGCCGCGTCTTTTCTTTCAATTCCCCCCCCCCTCCTCCCCCCTCCCTCCGCCCTTCTGCTCCCCCTCCTTTTGCGCGAGCGCGAGATCTCTCTCGCCCGCGCCGGTGCGTCCTTCTCTCGCCGTTGCATTTCCGCGCGAGGGAACACTCGGAGCGTACGCGCGATGAATACGAAACAGCGGCCAAGGATTAAAAGCCTAAGCCGCTCGGGAAGTGATTGTCGACCGCTCATAGAGTCTCTCTCTCTCTCTCTCTCTCTCCCCCTGAGTTGATTGGTCCCTTTATAACGACGACATAATCGAACGAATTACGCGGCCGTTGGTGAGTTTTACGGTTACGGGACCGTTTGTGGCAGCAACGGTGTATTGATTTCCGCAAGTTCGGCGCATCGTAACTCGACTCCGATAGCCTTGCCGAAACGGAATCGCGCGAGACGGCAGGGAGGGGGCTGTCGTCCACGAAGCTATCTAATGGACAAATAATAGCCGAGCGGCGTATATTAATACGTAACCAGCCATTGCCGCGGCTGCATTCGCCCCGGGGGAATATTAACTTGAGCTGAAAGGAACGAAAATTCGTAACCGCTGATCCCGCCCACGGTCGCTCGATACGACCGCGGTGCAGCGCTCGTATCGTTTAGCCGCAAATTAACATTCGCGGGCAATAATCTATTTTAACATCTGTTCCTCGTGAAAGAGAGAGAGACAGAGAGAAGAGAGAGCCGCTGGAACGTCCGTCGCAAAGGCCCTCAATTCGCGCCGCGTTTCCGCGTGGTCGCGTGGCGGAGCCTCGAGTCGACGTTTCTAAAAGCGATTGAGCTTCGCGGGCAGAAGAGGAAGGAAAATCGACAAATGTTTCAATTCCCTCGCCCGACGACTTCCTCGTCGACTTCAGCGCTTACTTCGTCCCTGAATCACCGGCAGCGGTACACCGCGACTCCCCATGACCCCCGCCCCCCTCCGCCGGTGCGTTACAACGGAATTACTGTCGTCAGTACCGTCGAAGTCGATCACCTCTTTCTCGCGATATCAAGCGATTTAGAAAACATCGGGACGAGTCGCCGGCGAGCGGGAAAGCCCGCAATGGGAAAGCTTCGTTTCACTTAGCGTCATCCCTTCCAACGGCGAATATACGCGATTTTGCCGCATTCACTTCTTGTCCGATTAAGTATCGCGCGGCTCGCATTCTCGGGGCGAGTTGCCTCTCGTGAGACCCGAGACTCGACTCGATCATGCAAAATCCAGCAAAATTTTAACGCGTATCCCGTCGCACGTCACGACGCCGTCGTCGTTCGTTCGTACGACCGCTCGGCTGTCTTCTATCGAAGATAACGTCAGTGAAGAGCGATAGAGAACTTATCGTGCTCGTTATATGTGCGTGTTCATGTGCTACGCCTCCGCGACTTCTAAGTTACGATATCTCTTGCAAAGCGCGTGCACGTTATCATCCTCTATTTCGCAAAACATCCCCGCTCTGCTGCTCGTCGATAAATGCGATAACTTGCGAGACGACAAATCGAACAGGCAGTTGGCACATGTCGCGATATACCCTGACCCGCCGTTATTTGCGGTCGGCCGAATTTAACTCGCGCACCCGCACTCGGCAGCGCAGTCTTTCAATTCTCTCTCTCCCTCTCTCTCTCTTTCTCTCTCTCTCTCTTTCTCGAGCTTCTTCCCACAATTTACTCGAAACGACAGGAAGATGTTCGATTCGAATCAAAGCGGCCACGGCTGCACCCTAGCGATCGGTTCTCATTGTTCATTAAGAAGCCGTGAACGCGAGAAAAAGAGCCGAAGGAGGGAGGAGAGAAATAGAGGGGGAGGGGTAGAAGGAGCGCGAGAGTTCATTGTCTCTTGATGCCCGCACGCGTACAATACCGCCCAATTTAATGATCGGGATCTGAAAGCGCAACGGATGCCGCCTGCATCTCCGTTTCGCGTGCCATTGTCGTGGGGAAACAATGGACGACATTCGCGAAACGCGAGCTCTCTTTCGTTCTCTCTTACACGTACACACAGCTCTGTATCTTGCTCGACGGGGTGCGCTCGGCTTGCCCAGTATCTAAGAGATTGCTCGGCTGGAAACCACCCTTTCCGAGCGCACTCGCTCGCGACGGCGCGAGATTTAATGAACGGGACAAGCCGCGCGCGAGAAACTCGCCGGATGCTTTGGAACATTATTTTAGAGCCGCTAAAATAGACATGTACACGTGCGATACTAAAATCGATAGCGGGCGATCGCTTTTCGATCTTGAGTATTATGAAGTGGCCACACACAGGTGTCGCCTATGTGACGCGTGACAAAAATTGCCGGATTCCGTGGAAAATGCGCGATCGGATCATTGGAGAAGAAATCTGTCGGCTTCGAGGAGCGCTTTGTACGTTTATTTGATGACAGAAACCCTCCCGCTTTATTTCGTAATTATATTGTCGAGATTTTTTATTTTACATAAAGAAAGAAATTATTCCATTGCTAAGAATAGCGATTACTCGGTTTAGTTTCCTTCTTCCAAGTAATCTTCATCAGAGGGTATTAAGGCCATTTTTAACAAAGAATATTTCCTTGTTAATACTCTAAAAATGTACTCATTACAAATTTCTTGTAGAAAAGCGCATTTCCGTGTAATTAAAAGAAGGAAATTTACTCTCTTTCTAAAAATATCATAAAATTTATATTCAATATTTTATAGAGGAAGCAAACCGAATTTTTGTTTTAATTTAATATTTTATTTAATATTTTTATTTTAATTTAACTTTTTTATTAGAGTACCGCACTAATCAGGATTTAAAATCTTTTGAATAAATTTGATTATTATATGGTAAATTTACAAAATGCTTAAAATAAGTAACATTTATATAATATAATTTTCTATCTGTGCAGGAGTGTGAATTAACACACGTATATGCCGCATATAAAATATTTCGACGCTTCTCGCGTGGGTTATCGGCGAATCTCAATCACTTCCATTATAATCGTCCGATACTTCGTAATCTGTGAGTACATTCAAGTACGGGGGAGGGATGATGAGGGAAGGACAATGTTCAATACGCGGTGGAATTGCGGGCTATTAAGCCGACATTAGGAAGAGCAAAGGAGCTAGAAAGCAGAGGAAAAGGAAGAAGAGAAGGGAAAGAGGAGGGAAATTGTCGCGATCGACGAAACTCGTCGTTAACAAAAAGACCCGCCACATCGCCCCCGTCCTCGCGCGCAGCGCAATAGACCTCACAAAGCTCGGTGACATCGTTAAATCGATCGCTGAATAATGCCTCTCATTGGTCTCCTTTTTCCACCGGCTTTATACTAAATAGCGCGAGACGGAGCTCCTTCCGAAGAAGAAGGAAGAAGCTGCGAAGAAGACGGAAACGGGGCAGCTCGGCACGAGTGGCAATCCCGCGCTTCTCCGCCGGCGAATTCCGTATGTCTGCGCGCACGTGTAACGTGAGACCTAGAAGGACATTCCAGGAGGTCGCTCGCAGGACACGTGAAACGAGTCAGTGCTAATTAACACCGTCCAATTCCCGCCACTTTCATCGTCGTCGCGCGGGCGCAATTTCATTTTCGTCGACCGCGCGACATTGCGACCTCGCGCTGATAACTGATCGCAGAGGTACATCCGAAGCGCGAGACGCGTCGAGGACGGTCGCGGCGAAGACCGAGCAACTAGGAACGAACTTCCTCGCTGACTCATAAACCGGAATAGCTCGTCTTGTCAATATAGTTGCTATATTGCGCGATTCGCTGATATAGACTGAGATTCTCGACACCGCGGATCGTCGACGCGGTACAATCGACGCGCGTCAATCGCGACTCTTTGCTCTCGAGTTGAAAGCGGATGAAACTCGCGTGCGATCGCTCGCACTTTTCGCGCGCAGCACTCGTCTCGAGTCGAGAAATTGCGCTCTTCTGGACGATCGATCGGCCGCGTCCGCCGATGACAATGATCGTCAAAATGTTTCGGACGGACTTTTAAAATGCATTCTCGAGGATTTACAATCAGCCGCGTTGTCGTTGCTGTACGACTTACGGTGACCGTTAACCGGTAATAAATAGCCTGTCGCTGTCAAGAATGCGATTCGCTCAATGAGCAACAATGTTGGCTTGGCCAATCGCACTACTCGAGCTGCAATTTGCACAATCCGCTGGTCGCTATTAGCGTAGCGAGAGAGATAGATGAGAGAGAGAGAGAGAGAGAGAGAGAGAGAGAGAGAGAGAGAGAGAGGGAGAGAAAAAAGAGAACAA